GGCGCCTCGGCCCGCCCCCCGCCTGCCGCCTCCCTCCCTCCCTGGCTCCGCAGGCCTCACCCCGAGGCAGGCCAGCAGCGGCAGACGGAGACGGGCTCCTCCCGGGAAGGCGAGAAGCGACCCCCGGGCCTCTCCGCCTGGGCGCAGCGGCGGGTCATTCCGAGGCCGGCCTTCCTCTGCATTGCAAGCAGGTTTCCCCCCACCACGCGCCTCGGATCATGCGCTTCCCATGTACTTTAGCAATGGTTTGCTAGTCGATTGTCGCGTTGCGCGCAGGGAAATCCAACTGCAAAGGATTGCTAAAGCGCACGGGAAGTGCATGTTCCATGTACTTTAGCAATGGTTTGCTAGTCGATTGTCGCGTTGCGCGCAGGGAAATCCAACTGCAAAGGATTGCTAAAGCGCACGGGGTAAATGCATGTTCCAACGCCGACTCCCCGCCACCACCTCCTCCAAACAGCTCTTCTTCCTCACCGAAGTGAGAGTTCCAGAGTGGCACCTTTAAGGCCAGCAACGTTTTATTCAAGGGGTGAGCTTTACTTGTGCATGCACGCGTGGATCTAAGGAAGCGGGCTTGCACACCCCCAGAGTTCATACCTTGAATGAAACTTTGCTGGTCTTAAAGGTGCTGCTCTGGATTCGAACTTGGTTCTGCTGCTTCACACCAACGTGTGTTCTGCGGCTTCCCACCAACATGAATATAGCTTCATGGAAGGCACCGAATTAAGCCACGTGGAATGGAAGGTATCTGAGGAAGTGTGCCCTGCACACCAAACCAAAGCTCATACCTTGAATAAAATTTCGTTGGCCTTAAAGGTGCCACTCCGGACTCGGACTTTGTTCTGTTGCTTCAAAACGACAACAGGGCTGCCCACCTGGATCTTTTCCCTCACCGGTCCTTCCTGCTAACGCCAGAGAGGCAGCCCAGGGAATCCATGGGCTTATTTTATCTCTGTGTTTTGCTATTTATAGTCCGCCTGACTCACGGAGATTCCAGGCGGGTTGCCCAATATGTAAGTGAAGGCAATCCTGGTTTCGGCTTCCATAAGATTTAAAAGGCTGAATGCATTGGTTTAAATTCCGTGATCCGTCTGGAGTCTCAGTGAGAAAGGCGGACTGCGTTAGGTCTTTTAAGGTGCTGTTTATTGGACCTCTTATTTATTTAAAAGACTTCTTTGCCAGCTTCCCACACAAATGGGGTCCCCAAGGTAGTATATATCAAACATTAAAAACACTTTAAAGTTCAAGAATAGCAATATAATAATCCGATAAAACAATAATTCAACACAAAAAAACTAGGCAGGAAGCCAGTAACAGTTATTAGGAGCATGTCAAAAAGGAGGAGGAGGAGGAGATTGGATTTGTACCCCGCCCTTTACTCAGAGTCTCAGAGCGGTTTACAAACTCCTTTCCCTTCCCCCTCCCCACAACAGACACCCAGTGAGGTAGGTGGGGCTGAGAGAGCTCTTTCCAGAACTGCTCCTGAGAGAACAGCTCTGAGAGAACAATGGCTTGCCTAAGGTCATCCAGCAGCTGCAAGTGGAGGAGTGGGGAATCAAACCTGGTTCTCCCAGATTAGAGTCCGCGCACTTAAC